TGCGCACGTAGACGAGTGCGATAAGCGTCCAACGAAAATTTTTGTGGAACCAAGAAACGAGCTCGAAGAGCTTTCCGTTCAGCAAGTTTATCTTCCGTAATGGCCAGGAGCTCGATATTGTGGACGCGTAACGGTCGAGCTACCGCGTCCTTTGCTTCCACCGGGGGATCCGCCCGGCGGAAGCCATATTCCGCACGAGGGTCAATGACTGACCGTGGATGGGCGCGCATCAGAGCCGCCTTACGAGCAGTTTCCAGCTGCCGCCTCTGTGCCCTGTCAAGGTCATTGGTGATTACACCACGTCCTTTAGGTGACGAGAAGTCAGGAAACGGACATTGGGTGCGCAAGGCGCGAGCAGGGCTCGTCTCACGCCGCTGGCGCGCCTCGCCTTCCTCGTCATCCCACCCGGAAAAAAAGGAGTGTCAGACCCGTAGTCGACCACCTCCGCATCCTTAACGAGGTTCCTTGTCACTGATAGCGTGCGCAAAGTGCGACGCTTGGGCTCATCGACCCTAGGATTTACATCCCTCGATGCTGCGGACGCACTGTCCGACATTGCACCGCGTGCGGAAGACGAAGTTGGGCTCTGTCCGTTTGCGCTGTCAGAACCAGCGAGACTTGATGATTTTAGTGTCGTTGACACAGGGATCATTCAGCACGGAAGTCGTTTTGTTTCAACGAACCAAGTTGCAGTTCTAGCGGATACGCAAACCTCGTTAAGGCAATAATCGATTGGAACTGTAAATGTTCTCAATCTGAATTGGGGAGAGTGTGACGAGGTCACACGTACCCTGGTAACAGGGGTGTGTGTCACACAAGATGGGCATGGTGTGGCTGCACCCAAATAAGTGTACGGTACGTGGCTGGGTAGCCAGTAGCTATGCATGTATTTAGATTTTACTATTTATATTTAGGAAAACCTTTACATCTAAAAGTTGGCGGCTTTGCCGCAGATCAAACAAATAAATACAGTTTACATCTCAAACAGAAGATTTTATTAGCCTTGAGTTAAGCTTCTAATTCTATCGAAGGTAGCTGATTACGATCCGCTACACTCGTAATGGTTCTTGTGAAGAACGTAATGCCAGTGACCAAAATTACGCTTTCTCTAAGCGCAACGCTACGGCAGCCCCGCTGCATATTTGATATGCACCGTCCAACCACGATCTTGGCAAACTTAGAGTTGTAGGAAGAAGTTGTAACGGAACGGTGAGTCAAAATGTAAACTGAACAGTGCTAACATCAAGTAGATGGAAATTAATCGCACAAGTAAGTAATATGCACTTTACCTTAAGCCTGAGAGTTATGCCTCAGGAGCTGTCAATCGTGGAAGTGATGTTGAATCATCGCTAAACTTGCTTCTAATGCTGAAACGTATATATATTCGCACGAACCTTCTCAGATAATTGATCTGTGCAAAGCTGTGTAGATCCCAGAAAATCTGATGCAGACATCTATCTTGATCGGTGCGACCTGAGTTCGAGTTTATGAGCTTAGTGAGCTGAATAAGTCTCTGGTACTTACAAAGTTCGTATTGCCGTATCGAGATGCTACGCCAACAAGCAGGTCTTTAAGCAGATCCTGTGATGAGCACGTCCATACTATATTGGTCAGTGCCATATCCCAGAAAAGTTACGTAAGCTGGACGTCAGCGCATTTTTGCGTTTGACTAAAGGCGCAGAAGAATCTGGGAGCTCGCACCTTAACTACGTATTTTAAAGTAGCTTCATTACGAGTTTTAACTGAGTGCTAATACACACGCGACGAAGATGTTCCAATCATTTGTACTCTTTTGTCAAGTTCGGGTTACATCTGCTCGACTTAATGCCATTCTGACCTTAGCAGATGAGTTGTCGTTACGCACGGCAGCATCGACGTCACATCTCTCGTGGATAATGACAAAATGGTTATCCTTTTTCGCAAAGTAAATTTCTTAAAGAAGTGCTAGCTGGTCGGCTTAAGTCGGTGGTTCTGGTACTTTACAATTTCCAGAATATGCGTTCTCTCGTGCCAAAGTGGTGATACCGTATTGACGATGAGAATTGTATGGCATATGAGTAATGCGTGACTCGTGTTGCGCACTAGAAAATTCCGGGAAGCAAGAAGTTTTTGAGCTCAGATGTCAGCAATACAAGTACGTAATATGACTGATCCTTTGCATAAGGTTTGCCGCATTACAGCACGACTTCGCTTGACACGTGATGCGTTGTTAACAGAAGTAGACACGTGTAAGAAACAAGCTGAATGTTTTTCGTCTTGGGTCAGCTAGCAATTTAATTCAGAGTGGCGGTCCGTCATGTGCATCTATTTTTGTCGTATTGATAAATCTTACAGTAATATAGTTTTGTCGACCGCTAAATTAAAATGGCTCACCTCGCCGCTATCAATGACACTGCAACCAACGAAGATGCAGCCGATCTATTTCCAAACAAAGTGTTTTATCAGTATGGAAGTAATTCTGAGATCTGTTTGTGCTCGAAAGCCCACATCAAAGTGAATTGCTAATAAGAACAATTGTGACCCGACAGAATTTGCATGAGAGTGTAACGGGGTACGTATCTTGGCACATTTCACCCTTATCCTTCGGACGTAATGGGAATACTAGCAGTATGGTGGAAGATCATGAAAAACCTTCATGATTTTGAATGAGAGATGATACCTGAGTGAAGGTTGCTCAAAAGAAGAGGTCGAGAGACACGTGGGCTGCAAACTTCACTCAATGCGTTGACTGATATCTTAATGAAATCAATACCTTAGGTTTGAATGACAGCGAAACATGTATTTGAACCAGCTTAAAGTATAGTCTACCTAACGAGATCCGGGTTTCATGTCGTATGCGATTCGAAGAGTATCCTCCACTAACGCGATAAACGTGATCCGTTTGACCAAATGTATAAGGATGGCCTGCGTAGAACATGTAAAGTGGGGCCCAACACCCTGAACAAACTCGCCAGACTTCCGACTTTTGCAATCAGATAATTAAGTGTATGGTACTCGGCTGGGCGGCCTCGGTGGTGTTTACGAATCGATATTCTGTGCGCTTTCTAACATGGAATTTACAACTTAATCTTGTATCACGGCATCTCCACTGTCATGAAGAATCACAACTGTAACCGTGCACCTGGCAAAGAGGAAGCTTTGACTCCAAGACTTTGCGCTAACAATGCACAGATGTTAATTTCGTGCGAGAACTTAGTGCTTGTTTGCTCATATTCTATCTCAACAAGGACATTTTATCTCGAATATAAACAACTCACAAATATCTGTTTCACATGTCTAATATCGTCTGCCAACCTCTGTTCTCTATCCCATCATCTTAGACAATCAGCTTGATGGATAACTTGGTAACCTGCATGCCTATTATCTCTCATCTGTTGGGTGCCATATGAGAATCTATCTATGGCTTATCCACATGATGCAAGTGCATTCAATCACTCTACAATTCGCCATCTCAATCAACAATCACAAACATGTCCTCATCACCACGAACTGTGCACACATACGCATCTTTTGGCAAAGGCGAAGAAATGAAACCATGGAAATATACATCTCGTCCGCTTGGCGTCGAGGATGTGGAAATTAAAATTTCGCATTGCGGGATTTGTGGTTCCGATCTCCACACGATTGACAGTGGTTGGGGGCCTTCTACGTACCCATGTGTAGTAGGTCACGAAATTGTTGGTGAAGTGACGCTAGCCGGTTCAAATGTCAAAACTCTTAAGGTTGGTGACCGTGTCGGTGTTGGCGCTCAAGTCTGGGCGTGTTTAAACAAAGATCCAGCTGCGCCGTGCAAAGAGTGTGCTAGTGGTGACGATGCATATTGTACGCACAAAGTATGGACGTACAACGATACGTACAAGAATGATGGTGCGAGTTCATACGGTGGGTATGCTGACTATGTGCGTGTCGCACAAGAATATGCATTTCAGATTCCAGACAATATTCCGTCAGATGTTGCGGCTCCGTTACTTTGTGCTGGTGTCACTGTGTTTACACCATTGAAAGAAGCGAATGTAGAACCTGGTAAACGTGTAGGTGTTGTCGGCATTGGTGGACTAGGTCATCTTGCCATTCAATTTGCAAAAGCTATGGGGGCTGAGGTCGTGGCTTTTTCGACTTCAGCTACAAAAGAAGCTGAAGTGCGTGCTCTTGGTGCTACAGAGTTTGTCGTATTTACGGACAATGAACAAGCTACCGCTGCTGCAGGATCGGTAGATGTGCTGCTCATTTGTGCTAGTGCCGACAATATGCCATATATGCTCTTCTTAAGTTTCCTCAAGGTCCGTGGTACATGCATTATGGTTGGTCTTCCAAACACAGATGTCCAATTTCACGCATTTGGAGTTGTTGGAAAAGGTGCCAAATTTGTCGGCAGTAATATAGGTAGCATTCAAAATATTAAGGAGATGCTTCAAGTAGCGGCTGAAAAGAACGTGCGTGCTGTGATTCAGAAATTGCCTATGTCTAAGGTTAATGAAGGTATTAAGATGGTGCGGGATGGCACTGTACGCTATCGTGTTGTACTCGAGAATTAACTTGCAATATAACGACGTTATTTCAATTGATACATTGTTTGTCTGAATTAGAATTTTAGAGGTTGTGTTGAAACGACATCAGCTTTGAAGAGTCGCGAAGACTTTGCGAGTTCTTACTCTCAAACTCACTTCAGCACTGTCATTACTTTAGATGGATGGAAACTGAAGATCACCATCTTCCTGGCCAGATTCCTCAAGTTTGTGAAGTTGCTATTGAAGAGACATCCGAATACGAAAGTTCAAATACCAGATCTTCGACTAGTCCTTTGAATCGCATTTCATTAAATTCCGACATATCAAAGGCTGTAAGCTCACCAAAGACAAAAACTATGGCTTCTCGTCCATCTACTCCTCTTAAAAAAACGAGTGAGAATGTGAATGAAAATATCGTTCCAAGCAATGATGGTCATCCAACCATGCGAGATTCTAGCAATGACATTGCATTCAAAGCCGAAAATGATAGTGGTTCAACTGTTACCATTTCGTCCACCTTATCACCTTTACATCCTCCCATGCAACAGACATTTATACAGTCTGATTCTCCTCGCACGTTAGCAAGTCAAATGAGATCTCTTCGACGGAGTAGCATCACATTTGCTGACAAAGAGGTACTTAAACCAATCAAGAGTTCTTCTACTCCTACACAACCGTATCGCCGACAAACTATGGAAAGAAAAAGTAGTAATGCACGTATGGCATCACGACTATCGAGGCAAATTGGACGTTCGGGATCAGTGCCAAAGTTTAAAGAACGAGAACCTGTGGTAGAGACTGATAACCCAGTTGACAACGAAGAAACAGGGGATATGGACGAGCTCACGTTTACATTACCAGAACTATCTAAAGATGGAAATGTTACTGGGCGAACTGTACGAGAATCGTGGCCAATTGATCACGTGATGGTACTCTACATGCTCTCACGATACGCTGTGAGTGCGCGTACAAAAGAAGAAAAAGAATCATGGATTCGTCAAATCCCGTTGCTTGTGTTAATGTATGAAGGAATTGCAGCTGGGGCTATCAACTTTGACTATGCACCAGCAGCAATGGTAATAGCTCAAGAAGGACGACCAAAGCGTATTTGGATGAACACTACACAAGATGGTAAATCTGCAATCGACGATCTACGGGAAGCCGATTTGATTAATGGCTTAAAGCTCTCGACCAAAGATTATCATTCTGTCACGGCATTTCAAGTCTCTTTTCGAGGACTTCAACTGCTGTCTCAAGTTAGTAAAGAGTTGATTGCAAAGGTCGACTCCTTTATCTTTGCTCCAAAACCTTATCGTCGTGAACTTTTGAAAATTCGGTACATTCCAATTCGAGACCCACCAGATGGACTTACTGCCTCAGAAACAAATGTTCCGGCGTGGACGTATACCAACGAAAGTCACGATAACCTGACGTCAGGAGTCAGCGGAATAGTTCCGATTGATACGAACAAAGAGCCCGAATTCAATGAAGAAGGTCGTTTTATTCTTGAATCCATCGGATATTTTCGATATTCTGGCGTGACGGAAACTGAAGACGTATCGTACGTCTCAAGTCCTTTTGTTCCACAATGTGTACGAAGCTTAGAATCTCATCAACAATTATCCTCCAATGCTCATCGAGCGCTGGAAGCTGCCGGTGGACAATCTAACATTCGTGATACTCTTTCCGAAGCAATTGTTTTAGCTAATCCAGTCTGTTTAGTTGGTGAGTGGATTCCATTTGGTTCAAATCAAATTGTTGCTCTCAATGAACGTCTTGGCTCAATGGATCGATGCCAAGGTGGTTTATTTACATCACTTATTGACGATCGTCCAACAGATACGCAGTTTGAAGTCCCTCCTGGTTTAACCGAAGTTCGAATTCTTGACTATGATCCTGTACGATATATCAACTTTGAGGCTGAAATTAACTTTCCAGAAGATGACGGAATTGTACAAGTTGAAAACTTTGGGATTCACCTGAATGTAGATGGCACAATCTTTTACGGCATCAAAGTTGATGCGATCTTGGACAAACGAGCGGATCGTATTTCGGTGGATTTATTGTCGCGTTTACTAGTTGATATCCATCAAGATTCATCGGAAATCATGAATGATTTACTCTCATCTTACCAAACAAGTTTACTCGATATGGTCTTTTTGGGAGATATCGCAAATCGTGGTAAATTTAATATGATCATGGCTGATCAAATTGATCCATTCATGCCTGAATTGGAATATATGGATCGAGGAGATTTTGAAAACGAACTGAAACAAGTACTGGGTGATATTCATTGTGCGTATGATATTGGTGACGACAGTGTATTGATTGTTGGAAGGGATGGCATTCTCATTGCTGGATCTGCGTCGAAACGTTTTGAAAAAGTCTTTATTTCGTACTTTTCGCTCTTATGTCGTGAAATGTTCTTGCGTAGTTTCTTTACGCGTATTTTTGTACTTGAAGAGCTGCTGAAGCATATTCGTGAGCTCATCTTTCGAGCTAAGGAGGATCCGCATCATCTTGTTACGATTCGTGGCAAATTGAATCAAGCAACCAATGACTTGATTCTTGTACGTACACTTGCCATTTGAATATGCCGGTGGTAATCCTGACACTCTATGTTAATTGTAGTTTACTGATACAATGGGATATCTCCTGGAATCGTTAGAAGTTGTGAAAATTCCACAAAAGTCAGCAAATGCAAGCGAAGAAGAAGAAATGATCTTTAGTTATCTCGATTTAAAAAAGCAACATCATGATATTTTATTACGTGCTCGTGATCTGGAGAAATTAGTACATGGCGCGAGATACGAAATTGTGAACTTAAGACAAATGGCCGAAGTTCTTAATACTTCGGAGCTTGAAGACATCTTCAAACTTGTTGAAGGCAATACAAAGGAGCTTGCTGATTCATCTCTAACAGTTGAACAGTGTGGCTCGTCACTTGAACTCGTGCAAGTCTTGCTAGCTGGAAGCTTTGCTTTTACTTTATTAGATCGAATTCCAGGAGGAAGTTTAAATGTCGAGATGCCTCAATGGGTCAACTTGACGTTTGCGAAGACAATAATTGATGTACCTCTACTGTTTTTCGTTCTTAATATCCTTTGGATGGTTGGTTGCGTCTATGCGTTAATCCGATATAAAAAGTCAAAGACTTATGATGTTGAGCATGGACGACGAACTTTGCACATTAAAGTCAACAAAGCAATTGATATTGATAATTTTGAAATCTTTCTCAATACGCGCGTACTTGAGAAGCAAGAAAGCGTATCTCAACTTGCATCTGAAGTACGTCGCGTTGTATGGAAAGATTTTGGTCTTCAACCTTGTAGTGATGAACGAGCTCATCCACGCAAAAGTATTGCTTATGTCAAAGGATCAGTCTCATGGAAGCACAAAGTGATAGATGCTATGATGACTCGATTGGAAAAATGGCAAGCTCGAACAAAAGACAAAGTGAATGAAATAACTGCAGTATCAACAGGTAAAGCAACATCTTCTTATGCGACTTCGGGTCTTTTAGAGTCTGGAATACCCGTGGAAATTGAAGTGGAGTATGATAGTCGTTATGGGTTTTTACTATTCGTTACGTTTAAATTTCAAATTCGAGACAAGAAACTTTCTTGCATTCAACAGATCCAAAAAAAAGGTTTTCAAATGAAAGAATGGATTCGACATGGAAGTCGAACAGCGACAAAATCAAAACAAAAACCTGATGAAAGTACTTGTCCACGCAACGAAACGCTGATCTTGGAAGAAGAATTGATGAGCTGGTTTGCTATGGAAATGAAACAACATGGTGTGATCAAGAGTATTGATATCTTCTTAGCGGCACTTTAACTCGATCTTTTAATTATAAAATAAAAAAGTTTAAGTTTCTTAAACAAACTAGGATTTTCACAGTATTTTAGCTAAAAATTAGGTCAATAGTTGACTTTGAAAATGCAAATTTTAGCTTAAGGATAAGAGCAAATTAAAGAACGGTATAACACATAATTAAAGGTAAACAATGGTATATTTACCGTTTGACCACACGTTATACATGCACAATTGACAATATTACAAAGTGCACTTTGTTATTGCCACCTTAGAAACGTTCCGAGTCGTAAAAGAACTTGCTCGCGTAATCCTTGCCAAGAATCTCCGTAATCGCTTTGGCCGCATCCAATTTTCCGCTGAATTCCACACGCTTGTCCAGAGCAGCACTCGGACCAGTGTTGTTGAACTCTTTAAAGTAGACATTTTCAGTCGTATCATTTTTGTATGTCGTCCATCCTTTGGGGTTGACGACGGAATCAATCCAACTGTTCTGGATAACAGTTCGAGCAAACTTGCCCCATGGACGACCCAAGAACGTTGTGTTCATTGGAGCCATGGCACTGTAGATACTTGCGTTGTTAAGCACAAATTCAGACTTGATCTCACTTTGTTCGTTACCATTAGCGGTGATCCAACCTTTACCAGTTGTTTCAATGCTGCACGATTGAAACCACGCCATGCCTTCTCTGCCACTGATGAGGTTCTCAGCACCTTGAATGTATGTGCTTACGAATAGCTCAAGACCGCGGTTCGCAGTGAGAGCACCACGTTGGCTCTTGATCTGGCACTGGTAAAACCCGTAGTCAGTCTGGTCGATGTACACAGCGCCAGCACGTCCACGATCTTCAACCGAATTGGCAGTGTTTTCAATGTTGAGATTGTACACTTTCACACCACTTTTGGAAATACCGGCCAACGTGCTCGACAAACGGTTTCCATTAAATTTAATCTCTGGTGAAACGTCTTGGGCTGTCATAGAATAAGTGATCGTCACTTGGTTCGAACTGTATGCTTTGGGGCTGCAGGTGTAACCTTGAATAATCAAAGGTCCAGTAAGATCGGGAATGATAACTTGTTCTTTGAAAACGCCGGCGAAGATGAAAAGAGTGTGACTTTCCGTCGTATTGGGAACATGAGCCAAGCCTTCGGTGATCGTCTTGAAGCTACCGGCATGATTGCCCGAGGGGTCAACGACGATGGCTCCATGTGGGGGTTCCGTCTTTCGGTCAGGTCCATCACACCTTTCGGCAACAGAAACAATCGGTACCGTGTTTACTCCCCATTCTTTCGGACTTTCACAGTCACTGCCGACCTTGACAACATGACCGATCGCGAGACCAGCAAAAGTCATAAAAGAGAGAGCGAACACCTTCATCGTTGATGTCTTGGAGTGTGTTTGATGTCCAAGGGAAATTCAAAAATGAACGAAGATGCTGGACGTGAGAGATTGCTGCACATCCCGTTTAGGCTCAATGACTATCTTCGGGATTATCTGCAAGTCTTTAGGTAGGTCCTGGTGTCTACGATGCTAATCAGCTGCTTTATGCATAAGACGGAATCAGACACAATATGTCTACCCCATCTTATCGAACACTCTCTACCTAAAGCGTTTCCTAAATTTACGCTGATGTGACGGAAGATCCATACAAAATGCTCCACATGGTTATCATAATCTCATTCCACACTTATTCAGGTCCGATTCCACGATTATTTGTGGGTGATTGAATGCTTGAATACCCATCCAAACTTCTTCTCTTTATTGTCAAAGAAGATAGAATCGATAAATTGTAAATGGTCGTGATTAGGCCATAGATGGCGCGTCTCCACGACGTAAAGCAGCAACGTTCCGTAAACAGTCTTTCTATTTTGATTGGTAGCAACACTCTCACATCTTCAAGTCCATCTATCCTGTGCTTTGTCATTGTGCTACTTATTTCGTTTTCGCACTTGTTTCGTCATGATGTAGACAGATCGAGAGGCACTTAGAATGCAGATGTTTCTTTTGATTTGGCGATTTTTCATTCGTAAAAACCATTCCCTTACGACTGAACGACTTTGTTCTACGCATGTTCGTCGCTCGTGTCCTCAACAGTCTATTAAGGAAAGAAAGTGCCGACAACTGTCTTGCTAGTGAGCTATTTGTTAGCAAGTATGGCGCTAATTATCGATCGGAGTATGGTCAAAAGCTGATGCGATATACCGGACGAGTATGTTGACCTGTATTTAAGCCTTATAGTTCGATTTCTGCCGTACCGAAAATTGCAAAGCTGATCGGTTGTATTGTCGTAAAGACTTTCAGCATTCCAAACATGATTTCAATTAGGTATCAAGGTTGAGTATAAGTACGTCAGATGTGATAAAGTGGGAGTACTTGTATTTTTTCAAGACAATGATCGGCTTGGTCTGATTAGTAGAAAGATGATGTCACACATCTGGTTCATTTTTCCAAAGTCTATAGATATTTCATGTTACTGACGACTCTTTTACAAGAAAAGGTGGAGTCAAAAAATTTAAGAATGAACGTAAGTGTGTCGAATGAACGTAAGTGTATCGAGCTGTGTGTGTACGAGACGATTAAAAACAGCGAAGTTTGTAAATAAATGTATTGAAATATTTCTGTGTAAAGGTCGTAATGGAGGCTTTCGTTACTACGAAATTTCTGACAGCGACAAGCTTAAATCTTCTGGATCAACGCATTTAAGAAATCAACAAGCTCTGACCTACTTGGCGAGAGCGATCACCATGATGTGATAGTCTTCCAGGAAGCTACTCCAAATTTTATTTCGCAAACTTATCTCACCCCAGCAATTGCCTATATGAGCGGCAATCGATCGGGTGATAACTAATAAAGTATGCTTTACTCACGACATTGAGCATGTGACGCATTTTTACAGCAGATTTCTTCATGAGAAATAAGCTCAATTTGTAGGAGTGAGGCCGGAGTGGGATGGATTGAAACTTGCGATCGATACAATGGCCGCCACATGATAAACGTACTTCTTAATGAGAATATCATATGTATGTGGTTGATTGTCAGGTTCCCGCTGCGAAATTTCGCACATCCTGAGGATGAGTATTCGATTCAAGGTACGATATGACGACATCCTAGATGAATTTGGCAATCAAAGGAACGTGGCGATCTGATTAGCTTTCTTGTTTGAGAAGTCAAGATACATACTCAGGTGCTGACAAAATTTCAATTCTAGGATGCTCAATTATAAAACAGGGGCTTCGGGCAGATCGCGCAAAAATTAAGGTCAAAGTAATTTGATTTGTGCTGCTATTCCAAAGGGATTATCGGCAGTGGCTTGCTCTGGCCAAGTGTTTAGACAAGTTTAAGTGCACAATACGCCGAATTGGCGACTCATAAGACTTTTCAAATGTGATGAGAAAAGTGTGGCACAAGAAGAGCATCCCGCTCGGATGACTCACCGCTGTCAGCGGAATATCACTCGCTATCGTGAGAAATTGGTAATACCCTTCGATCAAGTCGGGGGGTTTCCTATGCCGCGAAAGAAAGCCTCATTTGTGCCCTTGCAACAGGGTTGTTGTGCTTCTAGCACAGAGAACATCGACTTGAAGAGTCTCCGTTCGCAAAAGCATAAACCTTCTCTTTTTACGAACTGGACTGTAGCGTAATCAATTGCTGAGGCTTCTAACAGTGACACATTTTAAAATTTAATTATATCTTGAACTCATACTAAAAAAATACGTTTCGCTATAACTCCAGTAAAATTATCTCTATTGCTTAACTAAAGTCATACAACTCTCCCATTTATGGAGTCCCATCATCTTCATGGCAGTTACAATTTCGGTACTTCTGAGTATTCACAACTAAGAAAAAGTAAAATGTGAACACACACATCATCACAACTACAAAATGTACTAGCCCGTTACACCCGCCCCGACCAATAAATTCAACCACACATAAGTGATACTTCTCTTGTCTTTTTTAGTCAATTCGCAAACGTGAACGATCCACCGTGTGTGAGGTTTGAATCTACTACTTGCAGGCTACAGTGCCTGTTCCAAATGGCATATTTGCATTGGTAATCCTCTCCCATCCACATCATCACAAAGCTTAGCGAGCCTTCAATCGACGCGCGTTTTTTGCGTTCAACGCCCTGATAACTGTACGTTGGAGAATGTCAATGTTATCTCTCACTAATTGGTCGCAGCGAATCTTCGGGTCCTGATCCAACACCTTCCTTCGTCTTCATACGGTCGAGAAGTCACCCGGCTCAAAGAGTCCGGCTTGCATCGCTGCAAGCACACTCGTCACACTGACTCTTGCCGATTTCATATCGTCGTGGTTGCAGCGTTGAACCGTTGCCCACCGCGCTGGGGCAGACCCCTTGAGCGTCTAAGCGAGTAAGCCCTTCGGTCGACTGAGAGCAAAGTAAGCGCCAGGACGTCTTTTAAAGAGCGTGTTTTTTACCTACCGATCACAAGTCTACAGAAAAACCGTCTGCGCTTAGGGCAGCAGCAGTCGGGAAAATCCGTACCCCGCATTGGGCTGTACTCTGCACTGAATGCTGACTCGAATACTTATAAGTGTTGAAATGGATAGCAAAAATACGTCGTCTCACCGTCGCACATCTTTACAAGCCGGCATGAGTGAAGCGGGCGACGAGGTTAACCACCGTCACATTTAATTGTTGCTGCTATTGGCTTCTCTTGTCTTCATGAGACAGCCGTTGTGAGATTCCACGAATTATAGATTTACAACAGAGATGATGTCCAGAACCGCGCTGAGATGAATCACCAGAGTGCAGATCAATCGCAGGTACGCCAGAGCAATCTTGAGGGAGCGGGTATCCAATTCTTCACAATGACGATATCCCATCTGCGGCACCAGATACTGCTAGTAGCTTGAGGTACCCGATCGAGAACTCGCCGTTACACGTAAAAAAATTATTTCTCGCTCATCAACCGGTGCTGGAGGTGAGCGACCCTCCCCCTGTTGGCTATTGTGCACATTTTTGGTGATGGCGGAACGTCGATTCTCTCAGAGGAAGTCGACGCGTGCGTCTGATGATGTGATGAACAGGGCTAGGATGTTCTCTTTGAGCCGCACTAATGTACTGTGTGAGCCCGGCGTTTAGAGCTGTGTAGCTGCTCAAAAGTAAAGAGTAGCTAATCTACGTGGGGTAGTCGAAACGCTGCTCCGTCTCCAACAGAGCGCTTTTATTCTATTGGATCGTACACTATATGTTTCTTTGCCTCTTGTCAGCCGACGTAGAATACACGATACGTTCGTATTATTTTCGGCTCGTAAAAGATTAGATTTATCTTTTTTTGCAATTACCGTGGACTTATCAAATCATTGAGCGCGATCACAACTTAGGGTATACACTGCATTTTTAGATTGGCTATCAACGGTTGACAAAACGAAACCCCGACTGCATACTCGTAGATTTTCGCCTGCATTTGGCTTGGACATGCTATCTATGAGCATGCAGACTCCAAGATAAAATGTGGTATTTTGTTACGAAGCGCAAATGTGTCGATAGTAGCGAATCAAATCGTATTGATAATGCCGAGTCGACCGCCGTCCGGTGAATCGTGATGCTCCTCGAGCCCTTGAGGACAGGTCCTTCGTAATCGGAGCTCCGCTGGGCGTCATGCTGGAGTAGCATATCGCTGTGCGGACGCTCTTGACGATTTCAAGCACGTCGTGCGCCGACTGCCTCGCTTTGAGGAATACCGCACTCTGTCGGAGCGACTTCTAGCCGTGGAGCAGGCGAATGTATCGCTGCAGACAACAGTGGAGCGCTTGGGTCTATTGGAAATGGACGTTGTTGCACTCCGTGCTCAGAACTAGTTGCTAGTTCATCTTCTGGATGGCCGCAGGCCCGTGGGATTTGCTCAGGCGCCAAAGTTTTCGCGCTCATTTGCACCGAATCCCGGTACGGCTCGAGCAAGCCCGCGTAAAACACCGGGTGGGTGCACATCCGTTTCCGAAGGCTCAGCGTGTACGCCAGGCCCCGTTTGGCGACATCCTTAAAGGGTCCGATACACCGTGGACGAAGCTTCGTCCGGAAGATAGCAGAGGCTGTATGTGTAGGCATGTTTTTTGAATTCATTAAAACCAGGTCCTCGACTTTGAAGCTTTCCACTCTGCCTCTTCCTTTTCATCGACATATCCTTTTTGCAGGTCTTGGCTTTCAGCATCGCATCGCGAACGTGTCGTAGGACACTCAGTCTGGTAGACAAGAAGTCATCGACT